AAAGAAAAGTTATTATAAAAAAATTATAATAATTCTATAAAAAAAATTCTTTAATATTAGTAAAATATTAGAGATTTTCTAAAGAAAATACTTCTAATAAAATATAAGAAAAAATATAAGAGAATATATTAAAACTTATTTTATTTATTAATAAACTAAAATTAAAAAATATTTATTATATAATATATTTAATTTATTTCCTATTTCTTCTAAACCTTAATAAGAAATTACTATAAACTTTATTATAAAACTATTTTTTTCTAGATTTCGCAGAAAAATATATAATTTTATATTTATTATTATTAATAAATATATAAAATAATATAATATATTTCTATAATTAAAAGTATTTTAGTTATAAAATTAGTAAAGCTTTTTATATATTATATTATTAAAGACTTTAATATATTAGTAAGTATTTCCTTAAATAAAAGATTTATTTTTATTAGTAATTTCTAATTTCGTTTTTATTTCTATTTAAAGATATAATAATAATTAAATATAGTATTTTGTTTTTAAACTAATAAAAAAATAAAGAACCTAAATTAGACTTTAGAATAATACTTGAAATGTTATACTAGTTACTAGTAAAATAATTAAATAGCGAAATTAGCTTTTATTAAAAAAATTTATAATAACCTAAAGTATTTTATAATAGAAATTTCTTTATTTTATATATTATATAGTTTCTATTTTAATATTAAGCTTTATATTAAAAATAATATTCTAAAAAGAGAAATACTAGTAATATATAAAAGAAATATTATAATAATAAATATATTAATAAGAAATTTCAAGTCTAAAAGAAAATAATACTTTATATAAAGAATATTTAATAGCTCTAACTAAATATAAAATTTATAAATAAATACTTTAGCTTTTTTAATATTTTAAAAGCTTTAAATAATTAAATATATTACTTAAAGCTATTTTTATTATATTAGATTTATAATATTTTTTATGTTTCTTTATCAAAGTTATAGTTCTTATAAGCTAGTATTATAGAAGAGCCTAAACTTATAGAAATTAAAACATAAAATAAATTTAAAATAAATTTAGTTATAGCTTATAAAAAAAAATTCTTTTTTTTTATATATTAAAAAAATACTCTTTAGTAAATAATATTTAAAAGTTATTAAAGAATCTAGAAAATACTATTTAAAAGCTATAAAATTACCTAAAAGTAAATAATATTATTATATTAATAAATAAAAAGAAATATATAAAATAAATACTTTTATTAGAAAAGTTATTTAAAAAAAAACTATATAAAATTCATATAAGAATATATTAAAAATCTAATATTTATATTCTATTAATATCTCTTATTTATATTTATACTAATCTAATATTTTCTCTAGAACTTCTAGTATTTTTTTTATTTTTAGGGTTTTAGATTTTATAAATAATAATAAATAAATTATTTTAGAAAATAATTAATATTTAATAAGAAATAAAAGAAAATAAGACTTATTTAATATTAAAAAATATTAATTATATTATTAAAAATATATTATATTTATAATATATTAGTAAAAATTACTTATTATATATTTTAGAATATAAAAGAAATATAAGTATTCTAATAAGCTATAAGATTAGTATAAACCTAAATATAATCTAGATAAATTAGAATAAATTTCTAAAACTTATTAATAATATAAAGAAAATAATTTAGATATAATATAATAAGTTAAAAAATCTAGAATACTATTAAAATTAGAAATAGAAATAAAAGCTAGAACTTATAAAATTATATTTCTTATTTATATATTTAAAATAATATAAATAAAGTATTATTATAAATATATTTACTAAATAACTAGTAATTTATTAGTATTAGAAGTTATTTATTTTAATAAGAATATAAATAAAGAAAATAAAGAAAACTTAAAAAAGGCTTAGAAAAAAAGAGAAAATACTATATATCTATATAAATTATATAAATAAAAAAAGAAAAAGAAAATTAGTTTATGAAAAAAAAGAACTTTTTTATATTTCTTTTCTCTAAATAATAATTATATATTTAGGGCTAGGAACTTCTAGAATTTATAAAAGAAGAAATTTATAAATAAACTAGAAAATTAGATAAATTTCTCTAAGCTAGAAAAGTAATAAAATAATAACTAAATTATAAATAAAGACTTAAAAATAGTTTTATAAATAAATTAGAAAATTAGATAAACTTTTCTAAGCTAGAATAATAATAGAACTATATCTAAATTATAAATAAAAACTAAAATAGAATTTATAAAATAATTAAAAAATTAGATTAGTTTTTTAAATAATTATATTTATTATAATACTATTACTTTTATAAAAAAGAATTATAATAAATAATATAAGAATAATTAGACTTAACCTAAAAATAAAAGCTTTTAAGATTTTAATATAAAGTTATTATTAGACCTTAAGTTATACTAGAAATATAGCTAAACTTAATTTAGTTAAATAGATTCTATAATTTAGATAAAGGCCTTTAGGACTTTAATATAAGATTATTATTAGGGCTTCGAGTTATATTAAGAATATAGCTATTTAGAGATATTAAAATAAGGCTATTTATAGAATACTAAGGCCTTTTAGGAATAAGGGCCTAGAAAGAGAAATATTATAAAAGGCTAAAATACGAGAAATATATATAATAAAATAAGTAAATATTTAATATTCCGTATATAGTTTTCTAATTTAATTAAGATTTATATAAAATATTAGAATATTAGATTATATTTTCTAAATAAATAAAGAATTAGTATTCTTTTATTTAAATACTAGAAAATATATAGAAATATAAATTAAGCTTTAAAAATAGAGATTAATTAGTCTATATAATAAGAATTACTTATTAAAATTAGTTATACTTATAAGTATTACTTTTAAGCTTATTTATTTTAATTATTTATATATTTCTTTATTATTATATGTTTTATAATAAACTTATTTTTATTTTTTTTATTTTTTTTATATTTTTAGTTTCTTATTATTAAAGCTTTAACTCTTATATCTTAATTTTTATTTATAGAAATAAGTTTATTATCTGTTTGTTTTATAAAATCTATTTTCTTTATAATAGTAATTAAAGCTTCTAGTTTAAATACTAAATAAGTTCTTTATATTTCTTATTTCTAAATCTTTTTTTTATTATATAATACTTTTATATATTTACTTATTATTAAATATATTATTCTTAATAATATATTACTTATTAATATTACTAGTATATAACTTAGAAATAGAAAGGCGCTTATATAGCTATATAAGTAATATAGTACTACTTTTAATTCTAAGGTATTAGATAATTTAAGGAACTTAATAAATATAAATTCTAGCTAATATATTACCTTATTTAACTACTTCTTAACTAGTAACTTAAACGTTTATTTAAAATAGTAGAGTTTAAAAAGCAAGAAGTATTTTTTTAGTAAAGATATTAGTAAAGTAAAAGGCGAGTTCCTTTTTATAAATTTATACTATTATTAGAATCTTAATTCTTATGAGATTCTATTCTATAATTCTAAATATCTAGAAAGGGCGGATTAATAGCTATTAAATTATTCTAGCCTATAATTATAAATATATAAGTATTAGAATATTATTTCTTTTATTTCCTCGTTATTCGTAAGTATATAAAGTTTGTAATCGAGAGAAGGCTAATAAGGATTCTGGGTTTGCTATATCCTATAGGATTACCCTATAGTTATATTAATCGGCTATAATAAAAGAAAAGCTACTCGTATTACTCTCGGATAAACGAGAAGTTACGTACGGTACTGCTTCGAATAGTCTTTAAAGATTATAATAGGGATATTATATATGTAATAAATCTATTTCCTTATTACTTAAATTTAGGAGAGCAAATTTAAAAAGGTTTAGAAGAGATCCTTGTCGGTGGTAAGAAAGCTATGGGTTGCGAAGATGACGTTACTAAAATACAAGGGAAAATGATGTTCCGCAAAGACTTAATAACGGAGCAACTGCACAGATCTTTGGAGCGAATCTGAGCGCTGAACTTGGAATCACAGTGGGAACAGGAGCTTTCGAATTACATTGATTGGCGCGAACCAGGCTCAACGTTGCTGAGTCTGCGTGTTTGAGAGCGGCTGACGAGGCAAAGAGACCCTCTACATTACAGTCGGGCACCTTCCTGGTGTCCTGTGAAGTAGGTAATACAAAAGAGCCTAGGACTAGCCCTAGGATCACACTAGGTGGGTGACCGTGTTGGGCAGTATCCATCTGAAGCTATGTGCAAGAAGTGGCGCGGAGCACCAGGAAGGTGAGTGGGTCGAAAAGCAGCCCGGAACTAAGTGAAAGAGCGTTGAAGAGAGGAGAACAGAGAAGGGGGCCAGAGGCCTCTTTCTATGTTCTTCCTCGTTGGCGCTCAGACCTCCTCCTATCTTCATGGGTTCAGACTTGCGAAGTTGTGCTCAGCCGCACTGAGCTGCAGCAAAAGAAAAACGCCGCCAGCTGCCGCGCGGGACGTTCCCATCCTAAGGTCATAACAGAAACAAAATAACACGGCTTAAAGCCTTCCGAAACAGTATCAATTGGCAGCCACCATGGAAGAAGGGTGATGGTTGCGCAGCCTACAGCCGCCGGGTCATAGTCCAGCACCAAGATACTGTTACAATCGGCTTCCGGCTTTCGCGCCTGAGAAAATCTCAAGGCACGGTCCTTCCTACTACTATTAGCGCAGGCTTTAACCAACTCGTCTAAGTAGCCCACATAGGGTATATTTTAAGGTGTGCAATATCATGTAACCTATACAAAAAAGAAAGTTTTGCCTTGCTAGGCAATTTCGCACGCACGCGAATTTTGGCGTAAAATGGCTTTTTGATACAGGCTCTAGCCCTGGACGTGTGTCTAGAAAGGCTAGGTGGATGTAGACTGTGCGTGGCATGTGCTGCCATTTTTGCTTTTCCCTGCATTATTTGTGCGTAGTCACAGCCACCACTTTCAGCTGGAGGCTTGCACTTCGGTGCAAGCCTTGATTGAGCTGACATTATGCAGATTAAAACCACATTGATTTCAGCCCGATATAGCTTTCTTTCCTGATCCCAATCCGCTCACTATTTCATTTATACCCTGCTTACAACTTAAACGGGGGTATTTTGATATCCCAAAATGACCCACGATATTCTCCTCACAACCGCATCAGGCATCGTCCGCATAGTTCTCAAAATCTACTTTACTGTCTTGCTGCTTCTCGTCGCCGTCTTAGGCAATAGCCTCTGTGCTCTTCGCGCTCGTTGGCAACTTGCTCGTGATGGCCAAATCCCTCTTGTCAAATTAACTAGCTGGCTCAATTGGTCCCAAGCGCTCTTGTTGACTTGGTCCCTCCGCTCGAATGCGCTCGGTTTCTTTGGCATTGTTATGGTATTCACCGGCATACTGTCCAAGGCCTCGGATCTCGTTGTCCTCGGTCTGGTCAACGAAGTCATGATCGAGACGAGATGCCCCTTCAATACCAGCACCGACTTTCTGGTGCTAGCAAGCGAGTATTATCGCAAGTCTTATAGCGCTCCTGACCCGGAGGGTTCGTTCTACAACCTCGTTACCCAGGCACAAATCAACAGCGTACGCAACGGCGGTCTGAATGCCATCTACGACAAGGTCAACACAAATATCAATTTTCGAGCAAGCCCGGAGGACGTCGTGGCCAACTGGACGTGCAGCGAACTCGGCGATCCATCTACACCTCCGGTATATGACGCCTCCACGACGTACCAGAACATCAGCACCGATCTCGCGACCAGGAACCTAATATTCACCGGCGTAAACAACGCCTATCGTTCCTGCTTCCGTACCTACGGCTCGGACCCGAGAATCAATCAACTAGTCATCATCACGGCTAACAACACGCAAGAAACGGACGGAACGTTCAGCATCCGCGCCTCCTTTGACACAACACCCTCGTACACGGATGCTAAGGCCATGCGAAGCTTCGAATGCAACCTAGGACCGCAAAACCAGACGTGGATGCAAACACACATTGGCGTCGAGAGCACACTGACCAGCTGGTGCAGCCTGCTTCGCGGTGATATGTACGACGGCTATAGCACTAACAAAACCTTCACTCTGGCGCCCGAGACCCGCTTTGAGAGCTTTCTACACAGCATGATAATGAGTGCGAATTCGCTCATGAGCCCGAACGCGAGTAGGATACATGACGACACGCAGGGCTGCATGGATGGACGGACAGTTGTGCCCTAGCCTGTCACGCTACTGCTCGCGGTCGTGACGGCCTTCTTCGTCGCCCTGGTGTGCGCCTGGCTGGCACTGGTGGTCATAGTGCATTCGCGACCTGGGGCGCGCTCTCTGAGCGCAGGCGAAGAGGGGGCTGTTCCCCTTGGGATGCTCGGTTGGATGAGATATGCGGTGCGGCAGAACCCTGCCGCGGCCCGGGCAAACGAGGCGGATGGGATGGGTAGCGAGGATGAGATTGATTTGCGTAAGTGGTGTGTGGAGAGGACATCTGATGGTGGTCGATTGAGTGTGAGGATCAGGAAGGCGGGCGAAGGATTGGCGCAAAGAGAGGGGCAGGATGTAGAGGAGGAGGGTGTATATGAGTTGACAAGGCTAGTTTGAATCGTCGTGTTTAGAATATAGGTTCTAGTTAATTTCGAAACTCATTATCCGAATATATAATTCGATAATTATTTTACTATTTTTCTAATAAAGATCTCGGAATTTCTTAAAGGTATTTCACTAATAAGTTCAAAATACTTAAAATATATTAGCTAAATAGGCCTTAAATTACTTCTAATAAATTTTATATAATAATAGACTTTATTTTATTATAGTCTCTTAAATATTATAAGATTTGTTTCTAAAAAAACACTTATAATAAAATTAATTCTCGAAGAATATTTATTATAAGTTTAAGATTAGATTCTAAAAACTGTTTTTTAGGAAAATATAAATATTTTCTATTTTTTAAAAGACTTTTTATAATATAAATTAAATATCTAAATTTTAAAAAAACTTCTTTTAATTCAAATATATTTTTAGGATATTATATAATAGCTTCTAATAAATAGTATTAAAAGTACTTTTAAAACTTATTATATTAAGAAAGAAAATAGATTCTAATTTTATTTCAGGAAATTTTCTAATAGAAATTATTAAGGAAAATAAAGAGATTTATAAATAAAGTTTTTATAAAATATAATAAATTATAAGATATTTTAAAGAATACTCTTGAATTATTCTAACTATAGAATATATTAATTAATTATATTTACTAATTCTTGCTTTTATTAAAGTATTTTAACTTTAATATATAAGTTCTATTTTATAGCTTAAATAATAATAACTTGAGTATTAATCTTAGTATTTTAATTATTATTACTAGCTTTTAAAGATTCCTAAAAAGCTCTATTAAAAGTATTATATAAGCTTTTATTATTATTTTTATTAGAATTAATTTAATTAATTTTTTTATAGAAATAGCTTTAATAAGAAATTATATATTTTATAAATTTCGAGATATAATTACTTATTAAACTATTTCCTTTAAAAGTAAAAAAATTAGCTTATAAAGTATTAATTAGTAAGTAATAAAATAATAGAATAAATTAGTAAATTAGTAAATTATAAAACTATAATATTAAATTTAATATAAAACTAATTTCTATTTCTTTTATAAGATTTAGGAAAGCCTTTTCTAAATAAGAAATCCCGATAATATATATATAATTAGTAATATATAAGCCTAATACTTATAATATAAATAGTAATTAGTTATAATAATAAAAGGCTATTAATTTCCCTAATTAATACCTATAATATTTAAGATTTATTATATGTTTTTTAGTTATATATAACCTTATATATATTATACTAGAATTATAATTCGAGAATAAATTATATTTAATAAAGAAAAGAATTTAGCTTAAAAGTCTAATATTAAATAAAGAAAGAAAAATAAGAAAAATCAAGAAATATTAAAAGCAAGAAATTTCTTCTTTTACCTTAACTTATTTAATAAAGACTTTTAGGTAATATAAAAGAGAAAGTATTTAAATTAAGTAAAAAATAAGAAAAAGAAAAAGAAAAAGAAAAGTATTAATTCTAGACTTTTAATAAAGAATATACTCGTTTAGCCGGACTTGTTTAGTTCTCGCTTAGTATATTTATTAAATAAAGAAAAGTAATTATTAGTTTACTAGTAATATATAATACTATTATATATTTATAAAATACTATTTATATAAGATTAGTAAAGTTATTATTATTTAGAAATAGGGATTATAATATTATAATATTAATATATAATTCCTAAATTTACTAAACCTAAAGAAATCTAGTTTACTAGTCAAGTTACTAATAGAATACAAGGTTATATAATTATATCCCATATCTTATATCCTATTATTTATATCCTATTATTTATATCCTATTATTTATATCCTATTATTTATATTCTATTATTTATATCCTATTATTTATATCCTATTATTTATATCCTATTATTTATATCCTATTATTTATATCTCGTATTCCGTATTTCGTAATTATATATATAACTTCTAAAGAAATAGCTATACTAATACTAGAAATTTTTTAAAAAACACGAAAAATAGTATCTTTTTCTAATTATATATAAATTCTCTAATCCGGCCTAGTACTAGATTTCCCAAATACTTTATATATCTATATTACTTCTAAGGTTTTAGTTATATACTAAAGGCTATAATCTTTTATATATAACTTCCTTTCCTATAATATTCTTTTATCTTATATATTTATTTCCTGCCCTATTTATACTTAATTTATTTCTTTATATCTAATTATATAATATTTGTATTAATTAGATATTTAAGGGTATTTATTAGCTTTAATTTTATTATAAAATTAGTAGAATTCGATTTTCCCTTAATCTATTTAACTTTTATAATCTTTTATTATTTATATATCTAATAGAGGTATATTATATTAATTATTAGATGCTTTTCTCGAGTAATTTCTAATTTAATAAGGCATTTATATAATGATTTCGAATTCGTATAAATTACTAATAGTAGTTCTATTTTTAGTACTTTATTAATTATAGATTTAACTAAAGTACTTATATTAAAATTATAAGCTATATTATAGAATTCCAAAGCTAGAATACTTCTAGTAACTCTTTTGTATTTAGTAAAGAACTAGTAAATAATATTAGTATATCTAGTTCTATTTACTAGAATTAGAATATATTTAATTTAGAAAAAGAGATCTTTATTATTTGCAAATAAAGTATTTATAAAAATAATTAAATATAAGAACTTCTTTACTAGCTTTATAAATCTTAGTTCTCTAGTAATATTCTTAATTTACTATTAAATACACTTATTAAGTGCCTTTATATTAGTTTTCGAGAATTTAATAGCCTAAGCTATAATTAATAGGTTATATAAAGCTTCTAGTTAATAAACTAATATAATATATACTTTTCTAATATATTAGATAATATATTAGTCCTTAATAAAGAGATCTTAATAAATAGTACCTTTATTACTTATAATAATAGTATTTTTTATAGAAATAGTTTAGAGGTTTTTATATTAGTATTTCTATATAAAAGTAATTCTAGTAATATTTATATAAATAATACCTTTATTAAACTTGAGATTATAATTAATAGTAAGGTATTTATACTTTTTAGCCAAGAATTTAGCTTTTTAAAGCTTTAGTTATTTTGTTTTTATAAAATTATTATTTCTAATAAATAAGGTATTATTAATTTAAAGACTAATAATTCTAAAGAATTATTTACTATAGAAAAGATAAGAGTTATAAATTAACTATTTTATAGAAAGCTTATTAATATAATAGGAATAGTAAGTTTTAAACTAGTAGTTTTTAGTTTCTAATATATTATATAATAGTTTTATAATTTTTAGAACCGAATTATTATTTAGATTTAGCTTTCTAGTAAGCTTATAAAATAAGTTAATATAAAAATTATAGTTAAGTAAGGTTATTAATTAGATATAAGCTTATAAGATATTATATAAATATAGCTTTATAGTATTTATTATTATAATAGTAATATTAAGAATAATTTTTTAGCTAATATATTAAATAGTAGATAATTATATTAATACTATATATTTCTTACTATTATTATAAGCCTAAATAACTAGTTTTAATTTCTTAAACTTTCTTTTTATATTCTTATTCTTAATTTTATTAATAAACCGGAAGTTAAAAAATTTTTTTTTTTTAGTACCTGAAATCTGAAAGTAATCTCAAATATATTTTTTTCTAGAAAGCTAATAACTTTAACTTAACGGGAATTCTTATATAAATTATTATTCTATAAAAATACTATAATATCCGGGTTTTTATAAGAATATTTTTTGCCGTATTTTAGTAAAATAGCAGGAATAGTAAGAGGAATTATATCTGTATTACTTTTAGTCTTATTATAAAATTCGGGAATAGATTTAGGTTTAGAGCTATTAGTAATAACCTTAATATCTCTTATATAAAAGGGCTTTATAGAGATTAAATAAAAGATAGTATTATTATATAATAGAGCTACTATATAGTTCTCTCTATTAATAGCTACTAGCTTATATAGCTTATCCTAATTATTAGGTTAACTAGTATTTCTTTTATATTATATAAAAATATCTGAATTTAAAGAAAATTCATAAATATTAGTAGTATTAGAACTATTTTGGGTATTTAGGGTATTTATAATCTGATATCTAGCTTAAAGCTTCTGAATTTCTATTATTATTTTCTTAAGTATTACTAATTACTATAATATAATTAGTAATAGGATATTATATTTAGTTATTTAAGATAAAGTATTATAAGCCAAGAGAATTAGAATAATACTATTAGGTCTAGCGGAATTATTAATAGCTTTAAAGGCTATTTAGAATATAATATTTTTATTAATTCTATTAATTTTAGCTATAATAATAAAATAAATATATTAAATTAGGCTATAATAGTATTTTATAATTCTAATAGAATTATAAGCTTTTATAAAAACGATTTTAATTTTAGTTCTTATAGTATTTATAAGCTAAGTAAACTTCTTATTAGTAAACTACTTTCTAGTATTTACTATAATCTAATTAAAAGAGCCTAAATAAATATTAATCTAATATTATTTTAGAATATCCTAAATATATAATATACTAATATTTTAAAGTTATTAACTGGTTTAATATCTAGTATTTTTATTAATAATATAAAGTATAGACTTACTAAAAATATAGAAAATATTAATAATAATAAAATAATTAA